GAAGCGGGAAGAAGAAGAGGAAGAAGAAGAAGCAACAGCAGCAGCAGCAGCAGGAGGAGAAGGAGGAGGAGGAGGAGGAGGAGGAGGAGGAGTAAGAGAAAGAAGAGCGGAATCGACAGACACACGACACGACGACGAGCGTACGAAGAGATGCTGCAACGATGCGGGCTCTCGCGTAGCCGGCAGACGAGGGAACGCAAGCACGCGATCGTCGGAGGAACAGGGATTCGCACCGGCGAGAGAAATTGGACTTTGGAGAGAGAGAGAGGGAAGGAAGAAGCAACGCGGTGGAAGAAGCATCGAAGAATATCGGATCGCGTGGCGGTTTTTTTGCGGCAAGTTCGTGAGTCGTCGTCGGGAACGATCGCCGTTGTCGTCGTCGTCGTCGTTGTCGTCGTCATCTACGAAGGGGCGAATCGTCGTCGGGGACGCTAGCGTTCCCATGCTCGAGCTCGATCCGCCCGAATTCACGGGACCATCCACGTCGTGCGATCGGAACAACGACGGGAACTGCAGTTCCCCTCCGCGTCCACCAACGATCGAAGCGATCGTCGCCGCGGCAATCTCTCGCTTCCGTATCCCGGTAGCCACGGCGGTCCCCTGCTGCTCGTCGTTCGTCGTTCGTCGTTCGGAGATCCTCGCCGCAGCTGTCGACGCGCGCGACGACGACGAAGTTGAAGAAAACGGTCGTCGACGATCCGAAGCCAGAAACGCCACTGCCTTTCGTGTCACTTGCGACTCGGTTTGCCGCAGCATCGGAGTGCGCCCGCGCATTCCGACGCTCGCCGATATTTTGCAGAAAAAGAGCGGCGATTGTCGTGCACCGCAGCGAGGGAACGACCTCGAGGGCGAAGGGTGGAGGAATGCCGATACCACCGATGTTGATGCCGATCGCTGCGACAACAACAACGACGACCACGTCAAGAATTTTAATTTATCGACGTCCCAAGAGTCAAGGTCATGGCCTCAAGGTCAGGACATCGGGAGCAAGAAGCCGAGAACGAGATGGAAGGACGACGGTGATCGGGATCGCGCGATCATCGACAGCCTGGCTCATCTCTCCGGAACTCGTGCCGCGTGTGTCACGAACGTTCCTTCGATCGATGTATCTCCTTACTACACTGCCTACAACGACGAGAACGACGATGACGAGAGCTGCTACCGCGTTATCGGCCAGTCATCCCACGCGATCGGGAACGTTCGTTCTGCTGGACGCGAGCAGGAGCTGGACTTTCGTCGGGACGACGACGTTGGCAATCGCCGCGGGGAGGAGTACGACGACGACGACGACGACGACGACGACGACGACGAACTCGAACTGGCGGACGACCGCGGCACTCGTGAACGAAGATTCGAAAAATTTCGCAGGGACGCGGGGAACGGCGGAGAACGCGAGAGCCACTACACTGCCCGGTTCCAGAAGCCGACTATCGCCAACGGAAATAACGAGAACGAAACGAAATTTTCGACAAAAGGACCAACGACGACGACGACGACGACGA